ATTAAATATTATGTTACCAGGCTAGTCTGATCTATGTTTTTAGTGCGAATAAAACTACATTATTCCACTTTCTGGCCCAACGTTTCGCTAAAACATTTTTAGCATCTTCAGGGGCAATCCAGCTTTATTAAATCTGCCACAAACCAAAAATACAAAGGCTCATTGTAATTAAAAATTAATGAATATAGCATACAAACATACATATACATATATGGAATTAAAAATTATAAACAACAATTTGAGGACAAAAAACTCACAATGTTTAAGAACTTTGATTAACACCTAAATACAGCGCATCTGTACCATCTTTTGTGGTAGCTTTGTCAATACTAAAATAATAAACATTTTTATTTCTAATCATAAACAAGAAATGTAAGCGGCCGCAATGTTGTCCGTATCTTCTTTTCTGTTCATTGTCTTTTTCCTTCTTTGCAATTATCCTAAGGCTTTCTAGTGTATATCGGGTTGACTCCCTTCTTTCTTTGCCGATAATCTTTGTGTTTGCGAAATCAGCTGTATGACCACTTGTTATGATGTGTTGTGATAATGCTGTACTGCTTTTTTGTTTTCTTATATCTGCTTCATGTTCGCCTAGTCTAACACCTAAAGGCCGCTTAGTTGTCCCAATATACACTTTTTCGCATTCCTCAATGTCATTTCCCTTACATTTAATTTCATACACTACATTGTTTTGTTGTTGGATATCTACTGAGCACTTAGTTTTTGTGTATATTGACGACAGAGTGTAATTAGATTTGTAGGCAAGTGCTGTGTTTTGTGATTTCGTAATGCTGTGACCAAAATTGCCAGTTAAGTTGGGAATGTATGTTACACTGTAAAATTTCTTAGTAGTTTTTGTTGTGTCTGTGTTCGGTGTTTTATTGGGATGGATGCTTGTTTTCATAACTTCTTGATTTATTAATTCCCGTATTAAGTTTATAGGGTAATTGTTGTTTATTAGGATTTTGTTGATTTTCTCTTTGTTAGCTTCGTGGAATCGTGTGTGGCTTATTGCCAATATTTTATGGATGAGGTTTTTTGCTGTATTTATCTTATATTTTGTTGGTTGCGATGAGTAATAATTAATCAGGCGTCCAGAAGAAGTTGGTTTGGAATACCAGTCAAGTAAAAGATCGTGGTTTTCTCTATGTATACAAACGTCAAGGAAAGGGATTTTTGAATTTTCCTCTATTTCCATCGTAAATTGAAGTTTATTGTGATACTTGTTAAGAATTCCTAAAATGATATTCGCGTCATTGCGTTTAATTATAGCAAAGATGTCATCCACATATTTGGCTATAAATTTAATGTCGATATTGTATTTTTGCTTGAGTTCCGAGATGGTATTGTCTAGTAGGTTCTCCATAATTATGTCCGCTATTGTTGGGGAAATAGGATTGCCCATAGGCATTCCAAACGTTTGTGAATATAGTTTTTTGTTGAACATGAAACAGTTGTTGTCTTTTGGGCAAAATTCTAAAATTTCTTGGAATTTCTTTTTCGGAATATTGGTTTTTTGTTTAACTTGGTCCCATTTGTTCATGACTATTTTTGAGGCTAACATTGTTGGTATATTAGTGAACAAGGACACGACATCAAACGACACTAACATATCTTCATCACACACACGTATATTGGCTAACTTGTCTTTTAGGTTGAAGTAATTCTTAACATTGTATTTATCCGAAATTAACATTTTCAAAAACTCTCCGATGTATTTGGACAGCTGGTAACAGGGGACCATAAACGAGGAAACAATAGGACGAAGAGGAACATCGAGCTTATGAATTTTAGGCAATCCATAAAGTCTAGGCGCTGTGGCTGCGGTGCATGTGAGCTGTTGCTTTTCTCTAAAGTTAATGTGTTTGCCTTTGTAAAGTTCGTCCACTATTTTGTTGTTTTTTCTTTGCAGAGCATTCGAAGGGTCACTTCTTATTGCTTTGTATGTGTTTTTGTCGTCTATTAATTTGTTCATCTTGTCTAGGTACTCTGTTTTATACATAGCTACTGTTTTGTTGCCTTTGTCGGCATCGGTTATAATAAGATTGTTTTTGTGTAGCCTGACGAACGTCTTTGCTTTGTAAAAGGCTGCTAAAATAAATTTCTCCGCTGCGTTGTGCTTAATATTGCGCTTAAATAGTAGGATTCTGTTACTAACTTTATTTCTGGCTACTTCTTTTTCTCTTTCATTCTCCAGTGATTGTATTAGTTGTTCCATTTCAGCTATTATATGTAATGGAGAGAAATTTGATTTCGTTGTTGGCAAGGTGAATTTTCTCCCAAGTTAGAGTATCCACTTTACATCGTCAGGAAATTTTATCGATGTATTATTTACGAACCAGTTGTTATCCGTTTTTATTCCCAGTTTCTGCACTTGTTCATACTTTAGTTTATCTGTTTTTGAATTGAGAGTCGACCTCTTCTTTTCTGCGATCCTCTGACCAAGAAAACTTTGTTTATTGACGAACGTATTGAATTCTGACTCATTTAAATTGCATTTTAGTTGTTGTTGCGCTTGGTTTAAGAGATCTTTAGTTAATTTTATATTAATGTTTGTTTGTGTTATTTCTATATTTAATATTTTCATAAGAAAGGCTCGTTTCGACTTTTCCATCTGTTGTCTTATCCTATCAGAACTGGTGTTGATGGTTACGTTTTTGATCGAATTTGTCAAATGGATAGGAATAAGACCATATCTCTTGCATTCCAGTAAGAATTTTAGGTCTTCTTTTTGTTTTGCTAATTTCTGATTTTGTTTGCTGTAATGTTTAAGGGTGATACATGTATGTTCACCATGCTTGTACTTCATATGCTTATAAAAATCTTTCATCTTGCTGTTTGGATTTTAGTTGGTGACAGAAAAAAATAAACTAATATTCGGCAGGCCTTCCGAGATTTAATTATATGTTTTATTGTCCGATCAGTTCGTAATTTATTAAATATTATGTTACC